TTATTATTATTATTATTAGTAGTAGTAGTAGTATTATTATTATTATTATTATTATAATTATTATGTACCCTACCTATCCCTCCTAAGAATATCTATCTCTGATTGTTTTCTAATGGAAGATGGGTTAACAGGGGTGGATATATCTTCAACTGCGTCCTGGAAAACCTAACCAACAAAAATATCATTAAAAAATGTTAAACTAAAATAATTTTATGCTGAAATCATTTACATGCTTTCTTTCAAAACTCCGCATTTAGAATAGCTATTAAGATTATAAAAAAATTTAATTTTTTAATATGCCTTGATTAGAGAAAATAATTAAATGTGCTCCTCCTCCTCTATCTTGTTTGATTTTGCAATTCTTATATTTTCTATATTCAACAAAAAGCTAAAAATTAAAGTTTGAAAATGGCAAGTTTTGTATTTAACGTGCCTTTAATTAAACTTTTACATCCATATCTTTAAACTATAAGAAGTATAGCTTTTATGATCACAAACCTTTCACAAGCCATTTATTTTAAAAAATTCATAATTCTGATAAAATAACAATCACTATCTAGCTTTAAAATCCTGAAAATATCATGAAAAAAAAAAAATCTCTTTAATTAAAAATAAGCCGCGAATAGCCCCTTATTAGATCTTTTATCGTAGTTAACAACGTTATAACTTAAAACTATAATTTTTATTGATGCTTCATTCATTAAAAATTCCTAATTTAGTCCAATTTTACTGTGAATTCACTGTGTTTCCAATCGTCATTCCATTGCGCGAAATTGTGCAAAATTGCACGGAATCGTTCTCGAATTGGGTGGAATTGAATAACAGGAATTGCTCGCAAGTAAAATCCACTTGCGTTGGAAACCCTAGTTCTTTTAAGTGAAGAGAAATTGCTAAATGCTCGTAAAAAATCCTTCAACTGAAGCAAAATCATGAACAATTCTTTTAGTTAATACAAGGACTGAGTAATACTTGTGAACAGTCCCCTGGTTTGTAAGGTATGACTTGTAATTTTTATGTTCCTCGAATCCTGACTTTACACAAGTTAAAAACTAATTTCCGGGTTTAGAAGCCTTACATTTACTTTTCATTGTATTTATAATCTTACATTTAGTTTTTATAGTATTTATAATCTTACATTTAGTTTTCCTTGTATGTATAATCTTACATTTACTTTTCATTTTATGTATAACCTTACATTTAATTTTCATTGAATGTATAATCTTACATTTATTTTTCATAGTTTTTATAATCTTAAATTTACTTTTCATTGTATTTATAATCTTACATTTACTTTTCTTTGTATTTATAAATTTACATTTACTTTTCATTGTATTTATAATCTTACATTTACTTTTCATTGTATTTATAATCTTACATTTACTTTTCATTATATTAATGATCTTAAATTTAGTTTTCATTGTATTAATAATCTTACATTCAGCTCTCATTGTATTTATAATCCTACATTTACTTTTTATTGTATTTATAAGTTTACATTTAGTTTTAACTGTATTTATAATCGTACATTTAGTTTTAACTGTATTTATAATCTTACATTTACCTTTTATTGTATTTATAATCTTACATTTACTTTTTATTGTATTTTAAGTTTAAATTTAATTTTATTGTATCTATAATCATAAATTTAATTTTATTGTATCTGTAATCTTACTTATAATCTTATTGTATTTATAATCTTACTTTTAATTTTATTGTATTTATAATCTCAAATTTAATTTTATTGTATTTAAAATCTAAAATTTAATTGTATTGTATTTATAATCTTACTTTTAATTTTATTGTAATTATAATCTTGCTTTTGATTTTATTGTATTTATAATCTTAAATTTAATTTTATTATATCCGTAATCTTACTTTTAATTTTATTGTATTCATAATCTTACTTTTAATTTTATTGTATTTAGAATACACGCATAACACAACAAAAATATTGGAGAAACAGAACATTCTTTTAATCTTTTGAAAGTGTCAAAAAGAATTTTTTTGTTATATCTCAGCGAGCTAATATGGTGTAAACTTTTGTAATTTCAAACAACAATGTTGGGAAGATCAGTGGTGTACGATATTAGATTGTGAAGATAGAGGGAATTGTAAGCGTAATTTCAAGGGGCCCTCCATGCAAAGACTACAATACCCGATTAACAACGGTATCCGTGAAACCTTAATATGATAAGAAAAGAATGTGGAAGATACCGTCGTTCTTCTGGCTCAAAAGTGTTTATTTCTGAGAGTTTGTCCATTGTTAAAAGGATCAAATTTATTTTCTGTTTTATTCTACCGTCAATGACACTGCAGAGTATATATTTCTAATGCTATTTTGTTGCTAGGAAAATTGTACGAAATGATAAAATTATTTAATTAAATTGGAATATTTGTTAGAAACTAATTTTGCGAATTAAAATCACAACAGTTGCCTTCAAAGCTTTGTCTGATCAAAAATGCACGAGATATCCATATCTTGATATCTTGAAAAATTGATTATTTTCATTTTGGGGTTTCTCTATTTAGTAATTTCTGCATTACTACTTCAGAAACAAATGGGGACATTTTAAGAATCGAAAGCTAGAAAAATTTGTAAAATCTGGGCCCAATCGGTTCAGCCGTGTTGACGTATATTAGGAACGAACAAACCCACGACCAAAGGTTTTTTCTTAACAAAAATTTACTTCGAACAATCCTGGTCTCTGAAGAAAAGAAAAATCTGGAATTTGATAAAAATCTCAAGAATCTTTAAAACAGAACCAGTTTCTGCCTTGTTCAAGTTTTATATACTGATATTTAGCAATTTTGCAGTTCACGAAAATTAAAGTTTTTCGCTTTAGCCGGAAAACCAATAATTATATTAAAATTAAGTGTTACTAGTGAATTTATTGCAGGAAGGAGGTGGGGGCTGGGGCGGNATTACTCATTGTTAAATTTTCTTGCCGTCAATGTAGTATGTTAAGATCTTACTAAAATCTAATGTGGAAATGACATTATTTAGAATAAAAAATGTTTTTTTATTGTCCATACCATTTTTTTCTATTTAAAAAAAACATCTATGATCCTGAGCTGTGTTTAAAGATATTCTACATTTGTAGTTTGAATTGTTTTCTGGGGAGGGGGGTGGTTTATTTTTATCTTATTGGTGTATGGTATTTATGTATATTTTGGACGTTTAGCGCATATCAATCAACAAAAACTAAATTTCCTTCATTAGTTATTTTTTTTTAAATTGGGAAATCTGTGATTTTTTTGTCTAATTCTATCATAACGAAGAATGGTCACATTTTCCAAAAAAAACAAGACATCAAGATCACCAATCTAGAATATCTTTTCTTTAATAATGGACTTTTTTATCTTAAATTAGAAACAACAATTTCATTCCATATTATTATATTTATCTTTCAATTTTATCTTAACTATAACAATATTAATAAAAATTGATAACTATTTCATTAATTTAAAGGCACGTCATATAATTCACTATAATTCGGTAACCGTAAAGATATCCATAATTTTCTCGTTTGAAGATATAATATTTTTAATTGTGATAAACTGACCACTTGGGTTTAGAGACATTGCGCATGAAAAACGGCGATATCTTCATCATTATTGATCAGTTAAATGATGTAGTTAGAATAGGGCATGGCCAAGTGGAGGCTAGAGGGATAAATGTTTTTTTTTCAATGCTGCGGGGTTATTAATGACGATGTTAAAGCTTTTAATTCTTTACATTTATATTTTAAATCGAGGAATGAAGAATTTAAATATCCTGTACTGAGGCTGTATTTGTCTAGACTAACTTTGATAAAACGTCAAAGAATGGGCAAAGAATTTTT